TGATTAAATCCAATTAAAAATTAGATAAAGTTGTAACAAGATATGATTCTAAATGAGTTGCGTCATTGCCATAGACAATATAAAAGGTGGATGTAGCTACCATGACATCACTCAATGATTTCTGAAGTACTGCTTTGACGATGCATTTTCGCTGTTACTTTATTGCAAAGCCGCAGATGTGATGAAGAAACAGAGTCTCACTATGAAACAACAAACTCGAACTACTACCAACTACTTGACAAGATGTGACAAAATGTGAAAATGATCAGCTATTGAACTTGGAGTTTGTTACCAAAGATAACCCTTCACAGACTTAACTTTTTATCCAGCATGATCCAAACCAAGTCAAACTCAGCAGGAAAGTGTTTAAAGAGGTCAAGTCATAAAGCCATTTTCTCGTAGACTTTTGGGACAGTTACACATAGGACTGGAAGTCTACCACAGTTTTTGCCATCCAGTAGAATCCAGATTTAAGGCACTTCCACTCTGGCTTCAATATTCTGCCCTGGAAGCTGCAGCCATATTATATACTGTAGAGTGATTGCATTGTGTTTTTATTCAAATATTACACAGCATGCAAACTCTCGGAGGGAGTTGTGTAAAGAAAAACAGGCAATTTCACACACAGAAGCTCCAAAAAAGAAATTGGTGGCAAGACAAAACTCACTGAGCTCTTTGACACAGTCGTTCACAAGCTGCTGCTCCTTTTCTTCATAAGTTTCGGTCTCTGACTTTAGATGGTTAGCCTGCGAGTAGACGTCCATAATTACACAAAATATCTGAGCCGTTTCGGTAACTCACCTCCCGTGTTTTCCTCAATACTGCGTGTGATACCTCTGAGCGGAGTGACAGGTTCTCCTCTTCCAGCTCTTTGAGTTTCTTTTGGAGCGTGTCGCTCACAAAGCCTCCTGAAGCAGTTTCCACTTTGCTTTTTTTACCCCTTCATGAGACAAACACAAATTTTATCATGGAATTTACAGCCAGTACAAGTGAGGTTATATTTTTACACCTGTGAAATGGTAACAGTATTCACACATTTTAGGAGTGACATTAAGAAAGGAAACTAACGTTGGGGAGCTGCTGGATTCATCCTCGATCTCTTCAGCTGCATTGGTGTAAAACTGCAGCAGCTCATCCTTGAGGTTCAGCTCATGGTGCAGCTGGGCAACCTGCAGGAGGACAGGCACTGTTCAACACCTGTAGCACCAAAACATTTTTTCCTGGTCTAAATTTCTGTGAGGCATACCTCCTCTGTGATTTGTCCCACTTGTTCCTCCAAATACTCCTTCTGCTCTGTGAGAGTCCGGTTCTTCTTAAGGAGCGACTGGCCAATCTTTGCAGCAAGCTCCAGATCTCTCTCTTTCTATTGGTTGCAATGTAGGAGAAGCAAACATAGGAGAGGAACATCTCATTATCATTTGGTCTGATTAAAAAAAAGAAAAGCTTCAATTTACCCTCATAGAACTGGCAAAATTAAAATACCTCACCTCTTCCAACAAACGTGTGACAGCATCAATGTCATTGTAGGTTTTCGTCATCTGGCCCACTCTGTCTGCACATAGCACTGTGGAAAAACCAAAAAAAGAAAACCCAACCGAACATCAAAACACCGAATGACCTTCTGGTCATCCCATCACTTGAGTTGTGATCTGCAAACATGTGTGACTGCATGCAAAAACGGCCCCATTATGTAACACAAAGAGTATTTATACACTCAGAGGAAGTGGATGTACCACGTATAGCGTGCAACACTTCCATCACCACTGTTTGGAAATGCACGAGCAGGCGTTAAAGGGGAAAGGGTCGTGTTCCATGGCGCACAACGTGTGGCTCTGCTGCTGCGGGGTTGGCAGCAATTATTGACTTCAGAGCTCGAATCGATAACGTGCTGCACAAAGTTATCGAATCCATTATGGTAAGCCTCTGTAATCCTGTTGGTACTCTAAACAACACAAAAACTTCCCATTTCTGAAAGCAAATTTAGGTGATGGCACTGAAATAGTGATCAGCGCTGGTTTACAGGGGTACAACAGATAGCCGTGGAAATTAGACAGGAGACATGCGTCATCTTAGTGAGGCGAACTAACTAAGAAACAAACACCGGAGCAAAACTATCAGCAAGAAATAATACAGCTTTTCTGCATTACTGGAGCTCTGAAATGATGAGACTGCAGCCTGTAATCCACCGCAGTCAGGAAGCAAAGAGGAACAACGACATTCAACAAAAATCAGAGTGCTGAAAAGAAACTAATATCCCAATCATTTTATCGCATCTTAACATTGAGCAGTCCTCCGGCTCACACTCATCCCTTTCTAATCTTTGCTCTTGCTGTCCGTATCCTCCACTTGCCTTGATAACAATCGACCGCTGGTCCAAAACACTGATCCATTTGCTTTCTGTCTCTCTCATGCCACTGCTCAGCTACTGTATCACAGGCTCACAGACTATATTACCCTCCACCCACACGGACGTCCTTGTGTTGGTGGAGCGAGAACATGGTAGGCGGAGAGATGAGAGAGAGCGTGTGTGCATCCGTTTTGGTTCCACAGCTGCGGAGGTGAAGTGGAAGTTGTGTTATGATTGGACAGGCGAGGATGCATTATCCAGGACAGAGTCAATAGAAGTGACTCCCACTTTTCTCATTTTCACCTTTCTTTCATTACCTCACTTCCTCTGTCTTCTGACTCATTCTTTAGCACCGCTGCTAACACAATAGACTGGCAACCTGTAATCAAACTTCCTCAGCAATTAAACAACTTAGCTGTATGCTAAGATGTCAAAGCTGAAATCATCTGAGCAAAGATCAGGGATGAGTCTATCTGAACTGTAAAAACTCAATCTTAGAAATTATAACTGTACCAATCAATCTCAGATACGCACAAAATAAATGAAGAAAAAAATTCAACAATGTTTCAGACAACATCCTTCACGTGACACGATCTAACGTCTCAGTAAGCCAGTCAGATTCTTCCTCTTTTCATTAGACGACCTAAATTCTTCTTCACATCTTTCCATCGTGCAAGTTTTCCATGTGGGTCAAGGAAAAAGTCATTTGCAAAAGCCATAGGAGAGATTTTACCAACTATACAACCCCAATTCCCAAAGTATTAAGTAAGTAAAAATATGAATAAAAAGATAATGCAGCGATTTCCAAATCTCATAAACCCATATTTTATCCACAAGAGAACACAGATAGCAGAAAAAATGAAATGTTTAAACTTAACTTAAATTTATCATTGATTTGCAGATCAGTGCATTCTGCCTTTATTCACATTTTCGTTTTGTCCACTTTTTCAAACTGGGTTATTAGAGACAACCATGTGGACAGAAGCTGAAATACCAGCTTTATCCATACAGGACAAAGACAGACGAGACTAGATTAGAATAGAAAACAAACAATCCAAATCTAACATTAACATCTTATTGAAGATCACTCTACTCAAATGTATCTGATCTTCAAAATGTCAATCACATCGTGTTGTGTCACGCCCACCAGCTGCACGTCCTCCTTCATCTGCATCTTGATGATCCGCATGTTTGATTTTGCACAGATTTTATGGCGGACGCTTGGTGGCTCGGGTTATACTTTATAAACAGATGCCATCAAAGATTCAAAGAACAATGTAATGCGACGACAGATAGAGTTAATATTGTTTAATATTGCACATTAATCTTTAATGTGAGAAAGCCTCTGCAGACAGCGCTGTCCTTACTCCATAAACCTCTTCTGCCTACTCATAAAGCAGCGAATTAAGCAGAGTGCTGATATGATATACGGGGAGCGCAGCAATTATCCAGAATAAACGAAGATGCATTCATGTTTCAGGGCCAAACAGAAATAAAGGGCTTGGTATCCAAATGTTTTTATGGCTTAACTTTGAGCATTAAGTCAAACAGATTCATAAAAGACATCAAAGAGCTATTCGAAACCTGTCTTGTTCATCTATGTAGGAGGGGTTCTCAGAGGATTTAAGGGAAAGACCCATAAAGGCAAGTAGAACACCCGAGTACCTCTTTATAACATCTACCCCATTTGAGTGCATGTCGACTACAATTTGTACTTTTTGCTGTCATTAAAATTATTTGTATTCTAAAGCTTTTCAACTGAAACACTTCTGCAATTTTAATATTGATAAACAACGTTTCAGTTTTAATCCTGCAGTTATAACCTGAAACCTTTAAGTAGAGAGTTCTGTTATCATTGCCTTCGGCAGCTTTTCCTTCTTGCTTTCAGTCTGTCTCGGTGTGAAACATTTAAAGTACTGGTGCGATCGCGCAGACTTACAGAAGTATTTTAGTGTCTCTTCGATCTGCTCGGTGGTCAGGTCCAGCCTGGCCTCAGGAGCGACGAGGGGCGTGTGGAGCCAGTCGTCATGGTCGTAGCCGTAGACGGTGTCAGCCCGCAAGCGGTACACCGGCAGCTGCTCCTCCAGAAGACTGATGATCTCAAACTCCGGCAGGTCAGTGCTGTTACAGACATCTGAACATTAGAGGGAGAGAGAGAGAGGGGATGAGGGTGGATGAGACGGGTGGGTTTTTTCTCATTCCCTGCGTGACCACAGCGAGTCAGGTTTGTGATGGCCGACATTAAATCTGATCAAACATTTGAAAGGCAAGTTTACGTTTAATCAGAGACAAAAAATATTCTGCTAAAATAAAATTAGATAACTCTTCACAAAACTCTTTTTTTTTGGTAAGAGGACCTGTTTTAAACACAGCCAATGTTTCAAATAAAGACATCAGACAGCACACGGCTCTGGCCCCTGGACACCTGTGGGTTCAAAGCTAATGTTTACGCGGAGCAGCCAATCAGGTGAAAGCCGGCTTAAAGGAAGCTGAGGGGCTACACCAGTAGCACAGGATTGTCTTGATCTGTCAATCATGCAAAGCTACTCTAGTAGAGTCCATGAATGACACTATGGAGCTGGAATTTAACATAACACGTCCTATTTAATGTGAAATATTTTGAAAAACAAGCAATACTGTACTTTAAAAACAAAAAGAAACACTTGTGCATTTTAACTTAATTATGACTGCAAGCTTAGAATGGTAAAAGACTAGTTTCACCAGCTGGTATCACTTTACTTTGATTGCATGGCTACATCCATGTGCAAATTGTGGAAAAGTAACTTTTATTTTGAAAAATTACGTTTGGAATTGCACATATAAAATTGCGTTTTTTAAGAAGAAGAAGAAGAAAAAGCAATACTTTATTAATAAAACTATTAAAAAAAGATTTATTAGAATAGTCATTTCAACACTGTCACCAGACGGTGAGCTGCATACTCAAAATTTTGTTGCTATATTTGGACTTTTGGATGATCTGAGTTCTTCTGAACCTGTGATGGTTTCGGCGTCCCTGCAGTCGGGAGGCTCCGGACGTGTCTCGGGCTGGTTGTACTCGCCCTCGCTCACATACTGCTCCTCGTGGTTGTGCCGCCGGTCGGGCTCAGGCTCTGACTCTGGGTCCTGGGACAAGGAGGGGGCGGGGGAGGCCAGCTTGGCTCACCTCTCGCTAGCGGAGAGAGACGGGGGCCATGGAGCCGGAGCTCCACTGTTGTAACGGTGACACGGGACAGACGATAGACAGCAGACACAGACACCTGCAGGGGACAGAAGAGAGGAGAAGGAGAGACCTTTACTTTTTCTGCTGCTGTGATCCAAAGTCCACTTCAATCAGTGTGTCTCTCTTTCCCTACAGACTCTTTACCACAAGTGCTGCTGCTGACTCTGCAAAGTGCTTCCTGCCAACAAGCTGCATAAAACCACAGCCTACCCACTGCAGACACCAGGTTTCATAAGTTGCAAGACTTAAATAAAAACAGACGGTGGTTGGAGGGGAACATTTATGCTTTTCTCTATTTCCTGTCATATATACAGTACAGTAGTGGATGCCCATATAAAACATGGCCAAAGTTTCAAATCATGAGCTCAGGATATGTGCAAGTAATGTCTGTGGGTCAAAAGAGTGGGCTTCAGACCTCTAAACTCTCCATTTCTAACACCTTTCCTAACATCTCCAGTTGGTGTCAGTGAGAGTGGACATCTCTGGGACAATCATCACAGGCATCCAGCTCTGGCTTGAATCACATAAGCTCCACCCACCTGCTTTTAAACCTTCTGTTTGTGAGGGATAGCCAACAGGAAGAAAAATGGTGCAAAGGCCTTGTAAGAGCTGTAAATCATGCAGATCTACTCCAGCAGACTCCAAATGAATAAAAATAAAATATGGAGCTGGAAATGAGCATAAGAGGTCCCCTGTGCAGCTCTTTATAAAGACATTATACCGAAGAAGAGAAGAAAGAGTGTTCTACCTAATCGATCCAGTAACTTTAAATTAAAAGGACAAACCTTTTAGCTTCAGCCTATTCCAGCTGACCTCACAGTCACCTTAGACGGCCTCTTTCGCAGTCACACACTGTACTGGGATCCCTGTCTGAAATAAACACACCGGTGCTCATTCACGGTGACCTTGTATATTTCCGTTTGCATCCTGCAGGGATCAGCGTGTCGAGGCAGGGTAAAAACACACACAAGCCAGATGAAACAAATTCACCTGAGCTCCAGATCAAACAGCCGGTGCTGCAGCTCTGAACAAAAATAGAGCCTCACTAAAAGTCTCTGTGAATATGCATGAGTGTTTGTGTGAGCCAGTTGCATGAATAGCCGGTTACCTCTCTTAAGAGAGACATGTCGGTGCAGAAAGTGTATGTATAAAGGGAGGGACACACGGGCAAGCACGGGTCTCTGTCATCACTGTAGCTGCAGTGCAACCTTGGAACGTCTTTCCCATTGCAGCAGTCTGAAAGCTGAACTCACACTGCTCACTGTGACAGCAGCATCTTATGGGAATTTATCTATTTTTAAAAACCTCACCACATACTCTGTGGGTGAAAGATGACTTCAGATATGAACTGACAACACACACATGCACCACATGCAGATTTGGGATTAAAACAACACATTAAAGCTGCAATCCCGTGCTGACGAGGATAAACGTGAGGTGCTTATTGGATGTCCTGCAGGCCCAGATATTACAACTGTCCCGCAATGAACGCTAACAGCTGCTCCTGCTGATTGTGCTGCAGTAAACAGGCCAGGGTTCATTCAAGCGTGGGGCATACACAATGCCATGTCTGAGGGCGTGGCTTCATCTACATCAGCACCCGTCACGGATGCGAATCTGTGTTTTTGCAAATCGTGTCACCGTACAAGTATGACAGTAAGTACCAGGACCTGATCAGTTGACCTTATGATGCACGGCATCGCCATTAAAAGCATTTAATCGTGACAGCAGTGCATCTGCCACTACACGGACACTCACGGTGACGGATCCAAGCACGGTTCCTTGTCCGTAATCCAGAGAGGACTCGGGTGAAGCTGAGCAATCCTGCAGCTAGGAAATGTTTAGACAGTGAAAATGTTTCCAGGATGGGCAGCCGAAGACGGTGTCTGCCACACAGTCCTCGGTCAGGCCGGGCTGAAGCGCCGTGACGGGGGATTTGCGCGGTCTGGACTCTCGTTCCTCAGCGCAGACACCTCTGGATGATCAAGATCACCTTAGACCGCTGTCCCGACTCGCTCCTGACCTGGTCCACTGCTCCAGCCTTTCAGCCATCTCCCTCTGTCTCTCTGTTCTCTCACTTTCCCTGCGATCAATCTCCCTCGCCACTGTCACACCACACTGCATTAGAATAATAGGACTTCTGGCCGAGACCTTCAAAATAAAATCCCTATTCCCTAACAGCTTTAAAAAAAAACGTGGATGCATATTTTGCACCGTAGTATGCTGTTATCATGCGCCTGTAGAATACAGTGAAAGTGCACAATGATCATCTTGAGATTAACTTCTATTCCCACTTGATGATTTTAATATTTATTACGGCTTAAGTTGAAAAGTTTGGTACTTAGTAAACGCGTTGATGCTTTTACTTGTAAGGCGCTGCTTTATTTCGCACGGTTTCCTGGGTAACTGTATATGACTTCACTTTCTTCCCACCCTGCTGCCACCCAGAAGACTCCCAAACCAGAGACCCAACCCGTTCTGGACCGAGCATCAGTGACGTCACACGCGCCTAACAGGAAGAGGTTGGGGTGATCATTTGCGGGCAATTTAAAATTATAGGATCTTTACAGCTTTAAAAGCTTGTAAGGCTAGTTTTGCTGTAATCATGATAAGGAACACATTTAATTTCTAATCAAGAAATGTATTTGTCCAGAACAAAGTGGTCACGCTGAGCAATGATATTTTTACTTTGCGAGATTTCCTACACGTCAATAAATAAAATAAATATAATAAAGGAAGCACTGTGTACAGAAGGGTAGAGAGTGGTCAGAATATAAAGTGCAATTAGTTATCCATATTATTGTAACGTCGAGACATTTCGAGTGTTATTATATAAGAGTGTATTATTTTAGATTAAAAATAAAACTTGCATTTTGTGCAAAGTTACAAATGTACAGGTCACGACAGATAATCACGTTTCTCCCACAGGTAATTTTTTTTATTTATTTATTGTTGATGACACACAACTTCAGTTCCCAGCAATCCTCAGTGTTTTCTATTTGATCAACTGCACAAGTGAGAGAGGGGGTAACTTAAGTGAGACCAGCCACTCAGGTCCTCTTTCTCACTGTTTCTCAACCATTTTTCATCCTGTTCTGAAAGCCAGCTGCATCAGTGCAAACGAGTAGGTCTGAAACCAGAGGTGCCACCCCTGCACCTCCATTTTTTGTCTCCACCAAGCATAAATTCTGTGATCATATCAGTGCAGCAATATGCAGAAATGACAGGAGGACAGATCCCCCTTTGAAACATTATATAGGCATGCGCTGTAACCTGTGGTGATTATAAACGCAAAACAAGATAGCCTTGCATTATCGGCTGCAAAGTAAGAAGTGTGTCCACAGTTGCATTACTATAAGTCATTTGTTAAATGGTTTATCTTGGTGTTTCTTTATGATTCCTTTTCTGATTTCTTATGCTTTTATTTTCTATTTTTCCCAACTCGAGCCCCTGAAAATGAAATCTTATGATATACTCTGGTCTCCTCCACCTCCCTCTTTTCTATCCTGATGTTCATATGCCACTAATCACTAACTTTTCTCTCATCTTACTGTTTTTGTTTGTTTTGTTTTTTTTTTGGTTGTCCTGATCCCTTTGTGCTCGTCTTTTTTCTGCCCCTCCCTGATTCTGAAGTTTCTTCCCTTTAAAACAGAGTTCTTTCTCCCCACCGTCGCTTGTCTAACACTTTATGGTCTTTACCTTTCATATCTAGCACTTTCAGGTGAATGCTATGATAACCCCCGCATCCCCTCCGCTCACAGAAGTTTTGTGCCTACCATCGCATCAAACGGCAGGTGGCAGCAGAGAGCCTCTTACATAACGCACAACCTGCTTTTTGCGAATTGAGAGTAGAGATGTTGCGTTTGAAGGCTGTGTAACAGCTGAGTGCTACACCTGCATCCACGCAGTGAACGGCAGCAAGTGAGGTTTACACGATTTCCACATTGAAGTGCTTTAAATCCGGTAATCTGTGAAATCACTGCGCCTCAGTGGTGGCCCGTGATTCTTACACTGAGTTTTTTGTTTTTTGTTTACATATGAGATGTGGTAGCGATGCTATGGCCCTTCCCCTATAAGTCACGGATACGTAACACCACACGCGCTCCCCGCTGCCATAATGTGCATATTTTGTGGAAAACAACACTGGCGTTTTGTTGGGTGCGTGATTTACTCCCTGTGTAATATTTACAACGGAAGACTAATTGTGGATTTTTTAAATTTTACTTGTTTACTTGTTACTTGGTTTGAGACTGAAAAACTTTGTCCGCGCGTCTCATCTTGGAGCATTCTAATCGATCTCTGTGAAGCCTCATCTGCAGACACTCGCTGCCCGTGAGGTGAGAGTGTGTTTGCAGAGGGAGGATAACCTTCTTGAGCTCGTTTCAGTAATTGTTAAACAACTTCACGTGGACTGACCACGGCAGCACATGGTAATTTATCTTGTTTGTCTCCATAACACCGCCTCAGTATCTGGTCGGTATTTACAACCATCTTCCGCCTCCATCTCCCCGGCTCATCCACTCCATTGGAGCCAATTTGACCTACATTTGAAATGAATTTCGATCAGATCCTCTCTGCCATTGGAGGCTTTGGCAGATACCAGAAAATTCTCTACATATGGATATGTCTACCTCAGATCCTCCTCGCCTTCCACATGCTGGTGAGCATCTTCACCGGAGCCACGCCGCCCCATCAGTGCCGCGAGGGCTCGAGTCCAGCAGCGGGGAATCAGTCCCTGTATTCAGCCACCCTGAACTTCAGCCTCTCCAACTCCTCCTGCTTCTCGCAGGATGTCGTGCTGCTGGGCAACGGCACTCAGCGCGTGCCGTGCAGTGACGGATGGGTCTACAGCAGGGAGACTTTTGAGAGCACCACCGTCACCGAGGTACAGAAACATGACCATCTGGTCTGTTCGGTTTGGGCTGAAGATCAACTTTAGTCATTAATCAGTTCACTTTCATGCTGGGAAAAGAGGCGGAAATCAAAAAAACAGACAAAAAGGTGTCAAATAGTAGACGGTAGGCTATCATTTGATACTTTTTATTGCTTATATTACCTATTAAATACTTATTATAAGTATCAGAGTAAGGATTTTACTCATCAATATATAAAAAGACATATCCCCAAAGATCATTTGCTGCCAGTGTGGTTTTTAAGCTATGATGTGGTATACTTTATCCCAAAGTTGGGACTTTTTTGTGTTACAGCAGCCAAAACTACCAGTGTTTAAAACATTTATTAGACCAACACCTAGTGTAGCGTTTATGTCTAAATTAACCATATTGATATTTACCAAAATCATCTTCTTTTGTTTCTGCAAAGCCTAATCCAAGCGTGCTTAATTTCTTTTTTTTTAAATTATATATATTTTTAATGCTAAAATATAATCGTTGTTGTTAGCCGCTGATTCCCAAATTTACTGTTTTATAAGCAGAAAAAAAGGGAAGCACTTAAAAATTATATTAAGATGTCAAATTACGGTTATTTACTTGCAATGTTGGCCTATAATATGTGAAACACATGTAAAATCTGTCCCGCGTGAATGATATTAATTCGTTAAGTGCCAGAAAGAACATTTCTGTCACAGGGTAGAAGCCGCAATAAGTTTTTGGCAAAGTGACTTTTATCGATCTTTTATTTATCCAGTTAAAAAGTCTAATTGACTTACGACTTATGTGACCAAGTGGGTAGCAGAATTTGCAACAAATATCTAGAAGGACATTTTAATTATTTTTTTTTTTTAATTTCCTAGGAAGATATTTTAATTGGCCATAAAGGACTACACTGGTTATAATGTCGCAGTCATAAAGATATGAAGAGCTTGCATTTTTTTATGTAACCCTTTGTAAATTCTGTTCACTAAACTCTATTTACCAATATAAATAAAGATATTACACATAGAAAACGCATAGAAACATTGGAAATCACTTTTTGGCAAAACCTGAATTTAGTGTTTTATGTACCTATATAACAATATAGTTTTCTTTATTTAGCCTGTTTTTGACAAATATTTGTGTTGTTCTTATGACATGTGGTCATATGACAATGCTTCTTGGCAATAAATCATAGCTTATTTGTTTTCCCTTTAATGTCGTGACAATTGTCAGGAAAATGCATTTGTGGGTTGAGCAGCAGAGTTGAGTACGTGGGTTGTGCCGTGAAAAACTTGACAAATCTTAATCGCTGTTGCTACATTTTCTGTGACCAGCACAACAACATTGTCTGAAATGCGACAAATAGTGATTAAGACTGGGATGCCATGCCAAAGCAGTGTGTGGCCAAACTAGTGAGGAGGAGGTGCCGGGCTGTTGTGGCTGTGTACAGCTTTTCTACATGCTGCAGAGGCCCCTGTTTGATAAACGAATCAGTTGTTAATCTGCCAATATCTCTTGTTTCTTCAGACTTCAATCATATAACCCAATAAACAACACCAAACAAGAGTCACGATTTGAGAGAAGATTTGCAGGTTTTTCATCGGTGCGATTCACATACTCAGCTCTGCTGCTCAACCCACAAATGCATTTTTCTTACAAACGTGGCACCATTTGGCACCTAATGTGGCACCCAAATAAACTGGCTGTCCAAAGAAATAATCAACCAAACATAAATGTTCTTATTTTTTGTGCTAAATGCATGTAATAAAACAATATGGCAAGGCAAATATCTCAAAATCTATGGAAAAGAAAGGAGCTAAATAAGGAAAAACATGAATAAAATAAAATAAAATTCAAATATGTAAAAATCTGAGAAATTATTTCATGAAAGACTGATGTGATGATAAGGAGTAATGAACCCAGCACAGCAAACATCCACATTAACTTTCCAAAGGGCCTTGGAGCCAAAATAAGCAACTGGCCCCACTCACACCCTGCTGCACCCCTGCTGTTCACGGCTGCTGTTGTAATCATACACAAATTAATCAACAACAGTTTGTATTATATTACATAAGAGTCTTCTTGGCGTAAAGGTTCTTGTGTCCTTGATATTGTGCTGTAGTGCCACAGATTTTCCTTGACTAACAGTCACTGTCTCAATAAAGGTATTCAGAAATGATTGCCATCATTTTGTACTGCGACCATATCCTGGACAGTTTTGCCACTTTTGCGGATGTTCTTCTTGGACTTTGGAAGGTTCAGTTTGTGTGCAAGGACTATTTTATGTTATACGTTTAATGAGCCAGAACAGAAATAAATGACAGTGTAATTAGAAAATCCTCAGTGTCTGGTCATTTACAGCTGGTCAGCTGCCATTTTTGGCAAGTATAGACTAATTTAATCATATTTCCTTAGAGGTTGCAGTCAATCTGACCCTGATGCAGCTCTAACCCTTTCCTAAGGTCCATTTGCACTTGGAACTTTATGACAGTGGTTTGTTTTGTCCAATGCCAGTTTGATACCATAATCAATATCAGCAAAGAGCAGCCCAAACACACAAGAAAATTTACTTTGACAATACTCTACATAGACATAGGTACTGGGCCAGATACAGCTACAGGATCTGCATAAACATGTGCAAAGCTCCCATTGCACAGCTTTTGTGCTGATGTTAATGTCAGCAGCAGTCTGGAGCCCTGTAGTTACTGAGTCAGGAGAGCGTTGGCAACTTTTCCACAATATGCGCCTCAGCACTTGAAAGGCCTGCTCTGTAAGATTATATGGTCTGCCACTTTGTGGATGAGTTGCTGTGGTTTGGTTCCTAAAAGCTTCCACGTTGCAATGATACCACTTTCATGTTATTGTGTAGTATCAAAGGAGAAAGAAATTTCAGGAACTGACTTGTTTCACCGATATCATCCTACTACAGTACTACACTTAAATGTATTGAGTTCTTTTACAAAAGTGAGGTGCTTAAGATTACGTGATGTAGCCCGATACTTTGCCCACAGAGTGTATGTCACTTGCACCAGTGTGTGAATGTGTGTGTGAATGCGCTTTGGGGTCCTCAGGGACTAGAAAAGCGCTATATAAATACAGGCCATTTACCATTTGCATGGCCATTCACCAATACATAAGAAATAAACAAATGCACAAGGAGTAACTTCTTTTTCCATCTACCAGTGGGACCTGGTGTGCAGCAAAGCTGTGTTCAACAACATTGGATCATCTATCTACATGTTTGGCCTGCTGGTGGGATCGGTGGTGTTTGGAGCCATGGCTGACAGGTAGGCTTTTCTCACTCGGCGCACAGATAGAACAAAGTGTCAGATCCTCAGCATCAAAGCACGACTGTAGGGGTGGCCACTGCTGTAGGCCTTTGCATGTGGTAACTGTATGTAAGGGGAGCAGTTAATTTATTTGCTTCATCAGCTACAGATACACACGATAAAACTGTTCAGACTTAACTGTGTGACAGTAAAAATCACCCATACTTTTAACATTCTTGTTCATTCTCTGTTTTTTCTTTAAACTAGAAACAATAGAAGGGTAGTATCATCAATATCTTGGAAAAGTCTTTGAACTGACACAGTAGATCTATTGCAGAAAGACAAATGGGAAGTGGGAGTGGGTCATGAGACCTGTGCTTCCCTTTTATTGACGGAGCTGAAAGGGTTAAGAAACTGAAGAGTGAAGGCTGCAGTGGGTGGTAGTGAGCAGGTGGCAATATGTGGTCTTCCTGGTAAGTTAGGGCTAAAGTGAACAAAAGGAAGCGTTTGCACCTGAAAAGAAAAACAGCCCAGGGAGCAAACTGAAGTTCCCAGCTTTGTTACTAATTTTCAAACCTCAGATTTTCTCTGGTGAACATAAAGTTATAAGCACTTGGTTTCTGATAACTGCACCTCCTACACTAAGAACTAGATAAAGACTTAGTATTTTTTTCTTTTATGTGTTTCGAGCTTAGTGTGATATCTTTACTTCTGTTTCGTTGGGTCTACTGGTGCAAATCTTTAATAATGAGGGAGGGCTAACTCACATTCCTGTGTCCTCTCTCTGTCTACAAGGTATGGCCGACGCTTCGTCCTGCTGCTGTCCCTCGCTCTCCAAACTGTGTTCGGTGTCGCTGTGGCTTTCGCACCCAACTTCCCGGTCTATGTGATTCTTCGCTTTGTAGTTGGCACAACAATATCTGGTGTCATCATCAATGCTTTTGTACTTGGTACTAAACAAACACACACACACACACACACACAAACCCTGCATGAGTATGATGATTTGAGGCTGCTGTAGTGGAGCGTCAGCACAGAATACCCGACAGGCACTTACCTTCCTACTGTAATCATTGTAGTGTATGTATGCATATGTGTTGGGTGGGCCAATCGGAATGAAGCTGTGCACGAACACCGTCATGCATGTAGCAATTATTAACATCTATATGTTTTTAAAAATATTTTAAATAAATCCAAATTCTTTTGATTTTCATATAGATCATGTCTCATGAGTCATGTTCAACATACGTTGCCCATTCGAAAGGTAATGTTCACCAAGACAACCATAAATAAAGGATGAAGAATTTGAGAAAGCGCTGCTAGTAATTATAGAAGTGATGTTTTCATAAAACACAGTGGCTGATATATAATCTCAGGTTCATTTAAATGGTGAAAAAAGATAATTCATTAATATTTTTTTAAATTATCAATTATTTAACAATAATGCCATGTATGACAGGACTGACATTTCTGTTGATGCAGGATAGTGTGTTTATGTTTTTTAAATGTTTAAGCGTTCCTATTTTAATTTCCTCATTATGACTTTAATTTTAAAGCAATATCAGATCAATAAGATGCATCTCAGACATATAAGGACCTCATTTATTCATATAGAACTTTTATACTAAAAAAACAACTTACATTTCAATATTAATTATTTAATTTGGTAATTAATTTATAAATGAATTAAACTATTAATGTTATTATTATTTTTCAAAACTTTTCACACTTTTCTGATGACTTCAGGGTTTGTCATTTTCAGAAGAGTTTTTAATAAAGAAAACATAATGACATACGCCTCAACAAAATCATCCTCCTAGTCAGTGTTAAGACTTTTTAAGTTTTATTAATCGTCACAGATCCAGCACAGGCGTGTTTCTGGTTGAGTGTCCCAAAAGTGTGTGTATAAAAAAAAACACGTTGGTATCTGTTGCAATGTGATTACATTTACTTTAAATGCAGATTAAATGCAGTTAAAACACTATTTCAAACCTACATAGTTTTATATCCTGGCTGATAAACTTCAATTTTATTTACTCAGAGTGGAAACGTGGAAACAGCTAACGAGGCTCTAATTAGATACACTGAGAGACACCGCTAATACAAATTTATGGTTGGTGTGTGGAGTCGGAGGGATTGTGGGATTTGAGTCTGTGAAGATATATTTGTACACAGTTCTCTAAAAAAGCCAACAGCACATAAACTGACATTGGTGGCCCTGCAGATATGTTCACTGCTGACTGGTTGAAAGTATATATTTAAAAAAAACATGCGTGGGAAGCACAGATAGTGTTTGCAGTGGTTAGTATTTATTCTTTCACTTGGTTTCACTTCACTACAAATATGTTCTTATTGTCTTACAACCAGAGCCAATATCAGCACAAACATGAAGGGAACAGTACACACCTATAGCATGCTGATCAGTGGTTCCTGCAGGTTGCTGGTTCTCGCTGGATGAAATCAGTTACAAAGAGGATGCTGCACCATAAACCTGCTTCTGATTTGAGATTACTGTGGTTCCCAGTCGTTTGCATGCAACACGTCAACTTATTTCCAAACAGTCTGTGACTGCCAGCTGAGTGAATGGTAAATGGATTGGTTCTTTTATAGTTATCCGGTTGTTCAGTGATGACGCGACGAATCCTACTTCCGGGTCTAAAGTAGTCTGCGTTTAATATGGCTTTTGTGTTGTTAACATGTTTAATGTTATGTATTTTCTTCTATTTGATCTCAAAAAGCTCCTAAAACAGTCAGTGATCCCTGTTGACCTCCCTCGGCTTTTATTACCGCTAATCATTTATTTAAGCTCAGTTTTTAAAACCTTAGGATGTAACTACAGCCCAGCCCATGCAGCAGTATATGAATGACTAACCTCGTATTGTGGATGGATTATCTCAGTTGTTCTCCTGGCTGAAGTTTGGTCCTTTTACAGCATCCTGCCATGCGATTACATTTGTTCCTGACCTCCGAGAAAACTCACGTTAACTTTTATCGAGTGGAAAAAAAGTTAGCTTGTTTATATTATGCTAACATAGCTATGTCGCTAGCGGTCACGTAGCAAATCATTATATACCAGCTAGCCCAACTTCAGTAACCCTACAAACGTCACTGCTGTTTAGTTTTCTGTCTTCATTTATGTTGGAAGTGATAACAGAGCTGTACGTTTTAATTTGTTTCCAAAACCCCGCAGTCAGGACATGCTATATTGTATTTAGATAGAAGCTAGCGAGCTAACTTCCTGCTAACTTCTAACTCCGTTAAATGTCATAAATTCCGTTTTCATGGATGCCTGGATGTTAAACTCAATTGTTACACCTGGTAGAGCAGAACGCTGATCATTTTATTAAAGATGAAAGACTTTAGACAGTTTTTCAACTCTCAGTAATGCCATAGTGATCGTTTGATATATGGACCTGCAGCGGAGTTTAGACCCTGACACGGCTAGTGACGTCAGACTGAACAACCGGATAGTTAAAGTTTTCTACTCTACAAGCACTTTTTTCTACATCTGCATCTAACATTCACACTCACACTCTGATAAATGCACTGGGAGCACATCAGGGTTCAGTACCATGCCCATTGCCCAAGGACTGGAACAAGCACACTAAACAACAAGCCTACCGATTTGTAGAAGACCTGCTCTGCCTCCTGATGGCCAGGGTGGCAGCAAGCCTTGACAAAGCCAGAACCAGAAATGGAGAACGCTGACTGCAACAACCTGCCACTGACCAAAGCAACCTCAAGGAGGTTTTTGCCAACCCGCAGGGTGATACACATTTTTTCCTTGTGACCAGCGGTTGCCAGGTTTTCACTGAATGGGTCTAGGCTTGTGTGACTGGGGGTTTAGGAGTCTATTTCACAACAACTGCCAGCAACCTGCAGAAACCACTCAAAAACTAGTCGAAGAATACTCATTTTTCCCTCACGATTGGTTGTTGCCAGATGGTTACAGAGCAGCCTGTGTGACATTTAAATTATCAACCCCTTTTGTGAGTGTGGACTCTTCCTCTCTTTGCTCTTTAAATACTTTGCTTCTTTTATTGATTTTTATTGATTTTTATGCTGATTTTTTCCCTTTTTTCCGTATGAGCTTACCTGCGATAGCTTCTGGATACTGGACACTTATAGATCATCAGGACTAAAGTGTTCTTAACAGAAACAGCAACATTTTTATAGTTACCTTATCTTCAGCGCTCCGTGTGTTTGTGGCCTACACACAGCTGAAGCCTGATTACAGCGTCTGGGCACTGAACAGCCTGGAAAAGTGCTAACCGCTCGGCTAACTAGCAACAAGATGCCTTCCCTCTCCACAGATGACTACCACAGCCTCCTGCAGAAGATTTCAGTACTGGAGACAAAAATTCATCGCTTAGAAGTAAACGTGGAGGTAAATGGACTGTGTGGAAATGAAACAACCTTGCCTTTGATTCAAAACAATGGCGATGAGCAAGCTAGTACACAGCTAAGGAGCACAGATAACATGACCAAGAAAGTAGACTCTGTGCATTATAATAAATCCTCAAGCGAAAATCCCCCCTTGGACTGTCTTGGTGCAAAACCAAGACATAAATCATGTCTCCTGGAAGGGGGAGGACGTATCACAGGCAGGGCGCAGCGAGCTGAAATCTCTGAAACCGACTGGCCTTCACTTCCTACAAGACAGGGAAGCTCTTCAACCCCTGTATATGGGAGGAAACAGGACTGGACAACCGTGAATAGGAAGGTTAACAACAAACCTCCAAAACAACTGAATGTGAAACTGCAGAACAGATTTGCTCCACTATCAAAGGACCCTGGATCTATATCGGACAACCATCCATCTAAAAGTAGCGAAGTAAGGACTGAAAATCTGTTGAAAAGTAAAAGGCCACAGGGAAAGCTAAAGGCTAGGCCTGAAACTCTGATT